GGAGGCTGGATGGTGTTAAAGGCACTGGAGAAATCAAAAAAGGTGACTCTCACTGTGCCCCCATCACCATCCAGATGTGACAAAACTCGCTGCAGCGTCATCAACCCCCAAATGTTATCTCCTTAACAATTAAAGTATATACAAATACAATGCTTATTAAACACAGAAAAATCAGGCACATGGTTTTTTTTTTCTTTCCTAAATGGATTCGCAGCAGTTTGGAACAAATCTCTTGATACTTGGCACTTACGGTAACTTGTTGGAGCACCAGCTGGGCGGTGTGGGCCAAGTGTATCAGTGCGTTTTTCACCAGAAATCAGGTAAAGGTCAGCTCAGTGTACTTCTCTGCACTGACTCATACGTCTGTGTTTGTTAAACTGAGCTGGAAACAAGCCCTGATCATATCTAGATGTGGTAATTTTTCTATTTATTGTCTTTACCGCCCCGTTCAGAACAGCAGTGGGGGAGGGTGGGTGATAATTTGACAGATGGATTTTTTTTTAGGATGCTGCAAATAATCATCACAGACGCCTTCTTGTTGTCTATTTTTCAATTTTCTACTTACTTTTTTACTGGCTGTCACAGAGATGAGTGGGTAGGCTCAATCATATCGTCGGCCTTCGTAGCACAACTTGGGCGAGGCAGCTGCTTCTCCGTCAGCCGTTGCTGTGCTGTCCATCGACTCTCAAAAGCTGTTGTTCGAACAGATTCTGATTTGTCAGAGAGCCGCATGCCGTTTACACACTTCTTGTGTTTGTAAACCAACCGTCCTTTTAAATGTCTTTACAGGAGCTGAACACATGAATAAATTGAGTGAAAAGGAAAATGCCCAAAATGAGAAAACCCGGGTCTTTAGGACTGTTTTCTATTATTTCAGCAGCTCAGATCATCTATTTTGACACAAAAGCTTTTTATTAATATTCTAGGTGAAAACACACCTTTCCAGCTCTTCTTCTGAATTATTTTTGATATCCTTCCCATTACAAACCTGGACTTGATCCTCTGCCCTTTCGAAGCTGATAAGGCCTGGCTGGGGTACTTCCAGTCACAGCCAGCAGGTGACGCTATGGCAGTGTTCCTCCCTAGCCGTGACTCTTTCCTCCCCTCCCCACTCCGTCTCACAGTATTGATTGGCAGATGCAGATACGAGGCACCGCTCAGCAGAATATCAATGTTGACTTCACAGGAGGGGAGGTAGATTTGGCGAGCTGGCCTCGTGTTCAGTATCGAGCGTCTGTGTTCTTCCAAAAGGCCCTGCTGCTGCTGCACAGGAGCCAGGGGCCACTCGGTGTCAAAATAAGCTTCCCCGAGTCTCCTCAGCCTGAAAAGTGAGAGCTGAGGGGCAGGTGTAGAGACGGAAGAGCAGCAGTGGCCTTAAACCAGAGTTTGCCATGTTGTTAGCCTCCTCTAAAGGGAAACCAATTTGTTTCTGCTGAGAGGAAGTCCAAACACTTTGAAGGCAAATATTGCTCATTGTTTTCTTTTCACAGCTGGACATTTTATGCAACGAGGAAATCTTGGGAAAGGACCACACTTTGAAATTTGTTGTCGTGACAAGATGGAGATTTAAGGTAACTGATGTGTGGGTATAATGTGATAGGTTTGTATTGCCTGGGAAGAACTGTGAAGTTTAAGATTTACTGTCATATAAAGGCATCCCAGCCTTGTTCATTTGTAGGCCTAATTAGATTTTATTGATTCTACACACACACACACATATGCCACTTTGAGAGAAAACCAAGGGCTCTGTTTTTATGATGTTATATCTCAGTCGGATATGGTCAGTCAGCAAAAACAGAGAAGAATGCAGCTCAGAGCTTGTGGTTTGATAATAATATTGTGGAACAAGCCATGAGGAGGAAAAGGGTTTTGAAAAATGGCAGTAACCTGCTGGAAACAAACTGAGGATGTAACCATTGGTTTTCATTTGGCCAGACAGACACTCCTGAGCCTCGCCATGTAGAGAGACCCCAGTATCTTAGCTCTGTTTTATAATAGAGGAAGCTTTTTGATTTGTTACTAATCACTGAATTTCACAGTAAAATGTCCTTGCAACTGCTGAATTGTTCCAGAAGGCAGCTGGAGTAACTGGACCTGCTTGGTCCACCATGTTAAGTTTGGAGTTCATCGCAAATGAGTTTAGACGTGTATCTGAAGTCTTGCTATTAGTTTGATGTAAGTGAGACACGAGAAATCTGCAAAAAGCTCTTGAATATACTTCAGATAGCTGCATTATCTAATATTGGCTCTGTGCTGTGTTAAATTGCAAAAAAAGACAAAAAGCAATCAAAGCATCATCCTCAGTTGGTGGCCCATGTAAAAGACACATCATGATTCGGTGGGTTTGGATTGCAGTGTAGAGCTGTTTAACCCCGGTATTATAGTGCAATATGTTAAGAAAAGGTACATTACACCATTCAGATGGTTACTATAGAAGTACTTACTAAGTTACTTTGGAAGAACGACATGTTGGTGTTTTAAAATAATAAATAAATATCCATGAGAAAATGTTTTCAGAACGAGGACCGGCAAAGTCATGTGAGGTAAACAGTAATGAATGGGACAGAGCTGCCGTCTTGTATAGAGGCATCGGAGTTCGACCAGCTGTGGATGTGTCAGTAAACTGGGCTTTTTGTTTTGTCACAATGATTTTATTAGCCAATAATCCCAGGGTTCTTCTGTTGTGCTAAGCTAGTTGACCAGGCATGCTAATGTTATGTTATGTTAAATTAGAGCGGATAACGCATCATTAAATTGGGGGGATCGAGAGATTCAGACTTGTGCTGAAGTTGTTTTTGTTTTTCCTCCCAGAAATCCCCCCTCCTGCTTCATTACAGACCCAAGATGGATCTGCTGTAGCTAAAGTGGAGACAAAGGTGTTTTGTTTTGTTTTTTTGATTTGTTTTTTTGGCCGGTGGCTGCAGACTGTGCTGATGCAAAGACGATCAACCAACACCAAGCAAACACCTGATTGTTGAAGTCCACACAAGCCAGCAAATCGGGATCTTAATGGGGGGAGTAATACAACATAAAACTGGCAACTCAGGCACAGATGCTGCACCACTGGTGTGTTTTTAGAAAGTAAAACAACCATTTTTGTCGGCTACATCCTCTATGTGAAAAACAAAAAAGAAAAAGGAAAAAAAAATGGAGAGAAAGCATATATTTATACTTTTGTACAGAAGAGACACATGGAACCAAGACACTACTGGTGCTCTGTTTACACATACACACACACACACACACACACACACATGTGCGATGTCCGGAATCACATGACCATGATTTTGAACTTCATGCAGATTTCATCCTCCTGAAACAGTGACTGAAGGGAGAGGAGGGTTGTTTTTGTTTTTTTTTGTACCGGGTGTTCTCCCCCAGCAGTACACTTGACTTGGAGCACAGAAAGAATATGGAGAGGTTATATGACAGGCATCAACTTTAAGCTGTTTATCAAGTAAATTGTCTCTGGATTTTTTTTTTATTTCATTTTGTGGGTTTTGTCTAATTTGCTTTTGGGTTCTTGATGATTGTCGATTGTGAATAGGCAAACATTTTTTGTGTAGTAATTTATGTTCTATATACTGATATTGTACATAAAATGTCATGTTACAGAGAGATTGAAGAGAATAAGAGACTTTAGACTGTTAAAAAACAGAGTGGATCCCAGAAGTGCTATCTATATGTGGGGTGATAAGTGTCCACAGGTGGGAAATTAGCATTTTTAAAGACAGACTCACCATTGGTATTGAGATATATAAATCTTTATGTTGTCTGAGAAAGACGCAAAACAAATATATCAACTCCTATGTCATTTGTGTCTGTGTGGGGTCTAAATATGTTAAAGTGCTCTCAGAGCATTACAGGACTTGAGGGTAGATGAGGAGAAAGCTCCTCATCTCACCTGTCTTCTATAGAGTACAGCTTTATCAACAAATTCTATCTTTTAAAACAGAAATGCCTGCCAGACATAAAAATGCAATATTTGGGCAAAGAACTTGTTCATTTATATTTATTTAAATCTCCATGTTTTCACACCACGTAGTCCGTGATATCCGTCCTTGAGTTTCTGCACCAGGCAGACAAACACTGATGCACCCACATGTTTACAGCTTCTAGTTGAAGCTGCTAGCAGCAGATGTTGTTGGCACCCTGCACCCTTGATACCATGCATTTCCCTCCGCTACGTTTGTTGAGATTTAACTGCAAAACAGAAATAAGTTTTGTAAATACACACTGGTCTCACTCATCTCAGCAGCCTTGACAACAGAGAAGAGGATCTAATCCTTTTTGCCCAAATTAAATTATGGTGAGGTGTGTGGACATTTTCCTGCCCACGGGAATTAACATTTGTTTGGTCAAGTACAAGCTTTCTCTTGGACGTCATTGGTATGAGGCACCACAGGCGGCTGGTGTGATAAACACAAGTGCAAATTACTGATATCATGTTGTGTTGTGCTGAGGTATATTCAGTTACTTGTCACTGCCAGTTCAAGCTGCAAATGTGCAAAGTTGCACAAGGTTTAAGAAAATCAATTTAAGAACATTTCTGAAAGTAAAATGGATTTAGTTTCTGTCGCAAGTTCAGTATAACAGATTTTTTTTTTGTGGATTAGCCAGTGTTCAATATTGTTAACAAGACACTTGAGTCTTTTTTTAAAATAACTCACAAGTTCAGGTTTCTCACAGGGACTGAGGTTTTTTGAACATTTTGATAATGAAATTCTGAATAAAATGACTACTGTCGGTCATTTGGTGCTTATAAGTGTATGTTTCTAGTCTTGAGGAGGTTTGTTCCTCAAGAACAACATGCTGTTCTCAACTGTGTGACACAGCAAACCGATGTTCTGTCAAACAACAAAATGTCAACGTTCAAAATCCTGAACTGAACTGTCTGTAACTTTAACACAACTGGACCCATAATGCCATATCAGACCTCAAGTAGTATTACCTCAGTGACCTGTCTCTTCAGTAGTTAAATGACAATTATTTACCCTTTGCATTGTATCTGCCCACAGCACTGTCTTGTCTGTATGTCTGAGTCTACATGCAGGGTTCCTGTGCATCACTAGGTTCCAACATCTGGTGAGATATGTTCATCTGAAAACTGATTAAAAACAAAGAAACAAAAACATTGGCTCTTTCAAGATACAAATACATGCGCATCATTCCAACAGCGTTTTGTGTGCTGCTCTTTAGGCCAGGTCCGTGATATCGTCCACCATTGCACAGCATCTCTCATAATCCTGAAATCCACACTCTGATGGAGGTTTGGAAGCAGAGTCATGTGTAGGAACCCTGCCACATCAGGACCTATGACCTGTGTTTTAAATGAGCATTATTATAGCCTACAGGTCTGTACCAAACCAGCTCAACCAAAACAGTCTCTGGTATCCTCTCTCAGCTGTCTTTTCACTTCTGATGCTGACTTTTGTGTTTCAAGGCTCTTAATCCAGAAACCTATGTAAAATGTCTTTGTTCTTTGGAACCTATTTTGGCCTCCTGTTCAGTTTTAATGGTGCCAGGTGCTTGGGCCTTAGTTTATCTTCTTGGAAGCTATTCATAAAAATAATTAGCATCACAAATATTTAGTTTTTCACCACTGATCTTTCAGTGACTCATGTTTTCTGGACAGCTCATGTTGATACCCGGTGAAAATCCCTGCAAACCTCATGTAATTGCTGGACACGTTTTTTGTAAGTACCAACTTTGTGATTTAAAGGCTTATACACAGGTGATGTCATAGAAATAAGGCCAATATCAATATCTAATGTGCTCTTAACTCCACCTTAAAGCGAACTGGTTTGGCGTTTGACCCTGTTATTAGTTACCCTGCTTTCAGTTTGAGCCTCGCTTCACCCAGAGTCCTTGTCTTGTTTAAGTGTTGCCACTTCCTGTAAGCTGTCAGTCTGTTTCTGATAAAATCTCTTGAATGTACACCAGCTTTTTCTTCAATGTTTTAAGCTGTAAAAGACCCACAAGGTGCTACTTTAGTGACTACAAACAGAAAAAAATGATCAGTTTTTCTGTATTATGCAGAACACTGCAAAGACTGCATTGTACTGTTTAGGACTGGCATTGAAACAAAGGTTTGTTTGTTTGTATGTGTGTGAATTTTTCTCACATTTGTTTGGTTGTGTTGACGCTGCACTTGTTTTACCTTCTTATCAAATTTCCCCTCATTTCTGTACCAATTCTGATCTTGTTGCATAAGATCTCTAGTTCAGTGTTTGAACCCGAGTCATACAACTTGTTTGTGTTGCCAAGGAGGAAACAAGTTCAAGGTCTTAGAACAAGAGGACTAAAAGAAATCCAGTAAAAAAACAAACAAAAAGCAAAGGGATTTCAGCTGAGAACCATCAGCACGTCAGAGATGCAACGTTTCCATCACCACCAGGATGCAAGTCAAGCATAGCCTACAGTATGGAACCACAATGATCTTGTTTGAATTCAAGCACAGGAGGCTGCAGTGTGAACACAGCCTTTCAGTGAATTTTTTAAGTATTGTTCCAAGAGTCCTGTTGTCTCTGTGTTGGGTGGGGAACCTGAGTGAAAGGGGTCTTGTTTTTGGGACAGCTTTGTCACAGTGACAGAGGTCTCAGTCTCTGGTGCTTTGTATGGTGCTAACAATCCCTGGTTTCAAAATTCTGACTTCATTGAGAGGAATTCAGTCAGAAACAGGCACTCGTGAAGTTCTCCTGTCACCTTTTCTTTTTTCAAAACTGCACCCGTGTGAGCTTGCGTCCTTGGATGTCTTCTCCTGTCAGAGTTGCCTTTCAGGTCCTGGTTGTGTCACTCATTAATTCATTTACTGGGCTGGGTTTACCACTTTCCTAGGCTTGCTCTGAAAAGCAAACAGGGAGTTTTACTTAAGTCATAGACTGTGAAGGGGCTGATGCTGTGAAAAATAAACAAACTGGTGATAAATTGGCTCTGCCAGCTGCAATCTTCTGCCTCAAAGAGAGGAACTCCCATGTATTATAGGCTTCTCTGGTGAGATGTTTGCTTCTCTCAAGAGTCAAGCTTGAGACTTGCTTTAATCTTTAACAGATAACTGGCTCTGCGAGTCGACCGCATCCAGAACTATAAAATCCCAGACAGCTGATTTTGTTTTAATATTCCCACGGTTCTCTTGAGCTCTTGGAGATGTGACCATCTTAGCACTAGTGTGAATACTGCTGGCAACATCTTCCTCCTCCCATGCACCCGAATGGATTGATGTTCATGTTTTTATATGGGCAATGACATTACCACATCAGTGCCGCTACGCTTGACAGCCGAGCTAAGGGGCTTAGAGGAGGCTCGACTCTGCCCCGCTGCAGACGGGTCTTCAGCACAGAGCGAGACCATGGTCTGTCAGAGCTTCAGCTCTGCTTTGACCTTGAGCACCCACCAGCCTGTTTGTCCCCTGCTAGGATCCATGTGGAGCTCAGGGGAGAGCTGCAAGACATTTCGTTTCCAGTCGGTTTCACAGCTTCGTGTGAACTTGGCAGAACCAGCAGGTCGCTGGTTACCACCATAATGCAAGGATGAGTAAACAGCGCTTTGTACACAGTTTCTGTCCTTCCCTGCTCTCTGAGGGCTGCAGCATTCATTTCAATATTTACTTCAAGCTTGTTGGCAGCAAAATCAGTCCTGGCAATGTAACATGGTTTTTCTATGTTTACTCCACTGAAATAAGTGTCCACTCTGGGAGTGTGATAGCTTTCTTTGTTGCCCAGCTCACTCTTTCTCCCTCATTACTGAGTTCTCTGTAAAGCCCAGTAATCTCCTGACAGCCTTTGTGTGTGACAGAGAGGCAGACCTTGACGGTCACTCACACAGCTACGTGGACGAAAACACACTCCAAACAACAGATTGTTTGTTTGTACTGCGCTGCTGCTGCTGCCTACTCTGGACGGTGGCTGGGCTCTGACAAGCACCACAACTCGAGTGCACTAGATCATGTCGCCATGAAAAACAGACGACTTGTTAAATTATGGACTGTTTGACTTCAGGATCGTGACTGTTGCTTTTAGATTGTTCACAGGTGGTGGGAGCAAAGTCTCTTCAAAGACGCAGTGGTTGAAAAATACTCCGCTTGACTTTTGCGTACAAGTGCTAGATTGAGACCACAGGTTTCAGTGATTCCTAAATCAACTGGGAAATCGGTCAGCACCTAGCAAACCTCCCAGTGGAATGCCCCCATGAGCCATAGCAGATGTCAATAAATCTGTCTTGTTTTATATTTCTGTTATTTATGCTGAAAGTGGTTTCTGCAGTAGTCTTTGGCTAATGACTTTCAGAAGAGATTTGTTCTCAAGTTTGTATTTACTTTTCTTGTGAAACTGAACTCATGTATAAACTAGCTTAAATTATGAATTTGCAAATCATTTCCCCTTTTTTATTATTATTATTGTTCCACATATGCTAATGGCAACACAATGCTCTGTCTCTGTACAACAAATACACAGGTATGCTCTTTTTAGTTCATGCACAAAAAACACAAAAAAGCTAATTTGTGTGAGTCTGACAATGTGGTTATTGTATTTGCAAGGAAAATGTGCAATATACAGTTCTCAGATGGTTCCCAGTTTCAGTGTAGGACTTCAATATTTTATCTATTACTATTTCTTTTTTTTTTTTTCCAGTCAGTTCCTCAGGTCACTTAATGCCTTCTGGTCCTGAGGGCAACCAGGAAATCTCAGAACCAACACTAATGTGACTGGGTTTGATTTCAGTCTTGTCTCTCTCGTTTCTTTTCTCCCCTTTTTCTCACTGTTCTCAGACCTTGTTTTTTTTTTTAGTTTCAGGTTAACACAGGCACTTAATTCAGGTGTCCTTTTCCTTGCCTCCTTTTGTATTATTGTTATTTATTACACATGTAATGAACTGGTTTCCATTGCCACATTTAATTCAAGGTGTTTTAGGTCTAGAATGGGGCTGGGATTTCTTACATACAAAACTACAGAAGCCTTTGTCAAAACATAAGTGTGTATTTCATCAATAAATGCCTTTAAAAGTGCTCCTGTTGCTGCATGACTCATTTATTTCCTGTGAAGGTGGGATGTTTGGCAATGTGTGTTGTTCATCTTTACATTTAAATAGATTTAACAGTATGTTGTTTCATGTTGCTGCAACAACTCTGTTTACTTTAATAAGCAAAAAATGATCCATATTAATGAACAGCTTGCTTGCAGTGAAGAAATCACAAAGACATGTCACTAAGTCTACAGCTTTATGGAGGATTTTAACTTCTTTTAGCTCATTGTTTTGGTTTTGCAGCCCTTTCACTTTATGGTTCATTTGTAATGCTCTCATCATCATCATCATCACCTTCAGCTGAGATCTGATAAACCTTGTGTCCACCCGCTGTCTAGTGCGGTACCGTTAGCCATAAGCTGGTGAACACACTGTATCGAAGCATTTGGCAGCTTTAGCAGATGAAACGTTGGACTTTTTCTGGACAGGGCAGGCCCCTAAACTGGGATGAAGAGCTGCAACCAGCCAACAACAAAAAGAATCATTGATTATTTGTTTGAAAGCATGACCACTCCAGTAGTTTCAACAACATTCCTGTTTTTAGTTTCGGTGTAGAATAACATTTTCTATTTTCTATAGAGGCATATTTTGTGAAGTTTGGATTCTGTGAATAAGAAATAAGTTTAACAGTGTGATAAAATGCCTCTAAAATGACCTAACATTCATTCAGCAGATGGTTTTGTCCACTGCTGCTTTACCATTAGTGTAGCCAAGAAGGAGCTAGATAAGT